AATAAAATAAAATAAAATAAAATAAAATAAAATAAAATAAAATAAAATAAAATAAAATAAAAATAAATTTGACAGTTTTACAAGCCTGGGGCTGCCTCGCTCACCAAATCCTTGGCGTTGGGGGACACCTCGTCCCACCAGGGGGACACGAACTCGTAGTCACAGGTGAGGATGCGGCTGTACATGTACTGATCCCCCCGCGGGTCAAAGAAGGGCTCGAAACCACAGAGCCTGGAGAGGGGACAGGAGATGTGGGACAGAGGGGACAAACCTGCAAACCTGCCACCCCCGTGGCACTGGAGCCATGGGACAAAGGGGACAAAGGGGACAAATCCTGCCACCCCCATGCCATTGGAGTCGTGGGACAAAGGGGACAAACCCTGCCACCCCCGTGGCACTGGACAAACTCTGCCACCCCCGTGGCACCGGTGCCATGGGACAAAGGGGACAAACTCTGCCATTCCCATGGCACCGTGGGACAGAGGGAAAAACGCTGCCACCGCTGTGGCACTGGACAAACCCTGCCACCCCCATGGCATTGGAGCCATGGGACAGTGGGGACAAACTCTGCCACCCCTGTGGAATCTTGGAACAGAGGGGACAAACCCTGCCTCCCCTGTGGCACCAGAGCCACGGGACAGAGGGACAAACGTTTTCACCCCCGTGGCACTGCAGCCAGGGGACAGAGGGGACAAACTTTGTCACCCTCGTGGCACTGGCACCGTGGGACAGAGTGGACAAATCCTGCCACCCCCGTGGCACTGGACACACCCTGCCACCCCCATGGCACTGTGGGACAGAGGGGACACAACCTGCCACCCCTGTGGCACTGGACAAACCCTGCCACCCCTGTGGCACTGGTGCCATGGGACAGAGGGGACAAACCCTGCCACCCCCATGACACCGGAGCCATGGGACAGAGGGGACAAACCCCGCTACCCCCATGGCACCGGACAAACCCTGCCACCCCCGTGGCTCTCAGCCGTGACACTCACAGGATGTAGGTGATGACGCCCACGCTCCACATGTCCACCTCCGGCCCGTAGGGACACCCGTGCAGAATTTCGGGGGCTGGAAGTGAAATTTGGGGTCAAACGCACCCATGAGGGGGGTCCCGGCAGAGAAAACCCCGCTGGGCACCGGCGGCGTGTCCCCAGAGTGGGGGAAAAGGGATAAATGTGGCTTTGGGACAGCCATT